ACGTGTTGGTACATGAAGTTTTCCAGTACCACCTCCATCATCTTAGCCCTCCATGTATCTTGGCCCCCATGCGGCTCCAAGTTCTCCCAATCGATCTCCTTGTGGTTAAAGTCACCCATGATCAGGAGCTTTGCCCTGCATGCATGAGCTTTTCTGGCCACTGCAGCCAGTGTGTCAACCATCGCTCTATTGCTCTCGTCGTACTCTTGCCTTGGCCTCCTGCTGTTCTGTGGTGGGTTATACATCACTGCTATTACCACCTTGGGACCTCCAGAGTGAAGCGTTCCCGCTATGTAATCACTTTCTTCTCCGCTATCTCCTCTCTCCAGCTCATCAAAATTCCAGCGATTTTTGATCAGCAATGCCACTTATCCACCCCCCCTCTTCCCTCTGTCTTTCCTCAGGATTTGGTAACCCATTGGAAAGATGGCATCTGTTATCATACCTGTAAGCTTGGTTTCTGTGAGAGCTATGATGTCCGGTGATGCCTCTTTGACTCTTTCATGCCACTCCTCCCACTTATTTGTTATACCATCAGCGTTTGTGTACCATACCTTCAGTTTCCTTTCCAACACTGTGGTTTGTGGGGCCTGTGAGGGTGGGAGACCTGGTGGCATACTGTGGGATTCTGTAGCTCGGTGTTGGGTGTGTGTGTGTGTGTGTGGTTGTGTGTGTGTGTGTGTTGTTGGGGTGTGTGTGTGTGTGTGTTGTAGTTTTCTTGAAGGTTGGCAAGGGATTTTTAAAGTACTGTAACTGTAGCATTACAGTATTTATGTCTTTATTTTCAACATAATTGTCCTTAGAAAAACTGAGAAACTGATATGTGGGAAATGGATTTTATGTAACTGCTTATATATGTATATTCCATAAATGTTTTCTATAGATTATAAATACTGTACAGTATATCTTTATGCTTGATGTTGCACATATATAGTGTATTGAGTATTCATGTAAGATAAACTTCTTGAAGGAAAACAAAAGCCAAATTGGTGTTGGACATTAACCCTTTGAGGGTCGACAGGCCCTCTCCGAGACTCGTTCTCAGGGTCGGCCAAATTTAAAAAAAATAAAAAAAAATTTCTCTTATGAAAAGATAGAGAATCTTTTCCCGATCAAATGACACCAAAAGTTTGAAATTTGATGAAAAACTTTGGCTCTCGCGAAGTTAGTGGTCTTGGCGATGTTTACGCATCGGCGATTTTGCCCACTTTGAGCCCCATTTTCGGCCAATTCCACTGTACTAGTCGGCAAAAAACATGAATATTTCGCTAGAACTCCACTTTTTCTATCGAATGAGTGCAAGAAACCGCCCATTTATCAATTTCAACTATTCAGTACAGTGGTCAGAATTTAGCAATTTTGCCAATTTCACACAAATTTCAAAAGATGCCAATTTCCGAATAGGATTCAGAATAAACAAGAAAGACATTCCTGGCACTAAAATGACATTTCCTCTGTTCATTAGTCACATCTCAAGGCCCCTCTTATATTCTTTTGCTTTCCACTTTGAATTTTTATTCTCACAAAAAATAGATTTACTGTTATGCAGACTACTGCATTAGTGTAAAAATGGTATAAATAATATTGGCGCACTTGCGAAAGAATATTAAACTCACCAGTTGACGTGCATTGGATGCTTGGCATGATTTGTTTACTTTTGAACTTTGGTAAAAATCGAACATTTCTGCTACTTTGAGCTCAATTTCAAGGTACTTTTTATTGTAAAACCAGTCAAAATCATCTGAATTTCTGTAATATGTCTTCCATTCTATAAAATGAGACCAAGAAAACTAGAATACAACAATAAATACCATATGAAAATACAGTGCAAAGTCGCTGTTTTATTCCAAAAAAACGATCAAAGTTTTTTTTTTCTCATTATGCACTGTGCGCTGCAGGATTTTTTTTATACTGTGCACACTGACCACATAGACCCATTCTTTCATATGTAGGCCTACCAGCTTTCTCCCACTAGATTTGAGGGCTCTAGAATTTAGGCTTACTAGTACGTCAAAAACCCTGGGTCTTAAGCCGTACTAGTACGGCCGAAACCCTCAAAGGGTTAAACACTGGTTATATGTAACAAAATAGTTTTGAGGGTCATATTTAGCATAATTCAGGAAAGTAATACATGCATTATCAGCCATTCTTCAAAAAATACTAATGTTATAAAGGCAGTGTTTTTAAATATAGCTGGAAATAAATTATAATTGGGGTATTTATTAACTCTCCTTCAAGGAGCATGCTTTAATGGTGATGAAATGCTCTTGCTCTAAGGAATTAAAGCTACTTTCCACTTCCTTTGCTCAAACTTTATTACCACCTATTTTCTGGGCTGTGTGTGACTTCTACACGTTTAGCGCTTTTCCCTTTTACATATTATAAAATATTAATTACGCTGTATTAGCTAGGCTAAGAAACAATTGTTCTTTACAAGTGGAAAAGGAGCTTTCATTAAATCCAACTTGTTGTTCCACCTTGTACTATGCAAGGGCCACATGCAACTTGTGAGCTATAGGTTGTTCACCCTTGATGGAAATTAACAGATTAACAAAGGCAATAAGCATTGTGGCAATCCTGTGAATTAAAATGTACTGCTCCATAACCTGTGTCAGTACAGTGGTATCTTGACTTACGAGTTTAATTTGTTCCGCAACCAAACTCGTAACTCAATTTGCTCGTATATCAAATAAATTTTCCTCATTGAAATTAATTGAAATGAGATTAATCCATTCCAGCCCCCCAAAAAACACCCAAATTTTTTTTACAGGTTTTTAAGTAAGAAAAATGTTTTTATAAATAAGAAATGATTTTTGCCTTTTTTGCCAGGTCCCAGCAATGTTTTAGAAATCTTGGAGTATATATGAAACTCCTTGAAGCATGGTGTAAGATGAGTGTCACTCCACTGCTGATAGTGCAGCAGTGATCGTGCACTGCCTTGGCTTTACTCTTCACTGTTACACACAAACATGTCTGTCTCTGTTTCTGTCTGTCTGTATGTCTCTGTCTAGCTCTGTCTATATTTATCAATGTCTGCTTATCTGTCTTTTTGTCTGCCTGTGTTTCTGTCTTCTTGTCTCTCTACTTATCTTTGTCTCAGAGAGCCGCTCATGAACCAACAGGTATTACACACGATGCAGAGTCATCACGTCTGATTCCCGAACAAGTGAAAATGCGTATTACTTGCCAGTCATGCTTATTATGCCCTATCTCTACAAGCATAGTATAGCACTGTCTGGAATTTTTTGGGTTATCCTAAGTAATTTACACTATGTATAACTGTATTTGTGTGTACCTGTGAGTTAGAGAGATAGACAGAGACAGAGATAGATACAGAGAGGAGATAGAGACAGCCAAAGCAAAGGAAATACCAGCTAGCCAGCCAGCCAGCAGCTGGCTGGCTGGCTGGTATTTCCTCGGTATCTCCTGCGAGTGGTGGCGTACCTGAAACTCACTTGCAACTCGGATTTTGGCTCGCAACTCAAAGCAAAAAAATCTACCGAGCGATGGCTCATAACTCAGAAAACTCATAAGTTGGGGCACTCTTAAGTCAAGGTACCACTGTATAGAGTAAGATTAGTCTGTCTGAAATGCCTAGGTATGCTAGTGGCCTTCTTTGTAATTAATATTTTATAATATGTAAACCACACATTATAAGCTTTGCAAGGAAATAAACATTTTCATTTTCAATGTGTTTCCTTTCTTTGGCTTACCCTGCCTTGGTGGGAAATGGTCTTTGTGGTAAAGAAACAATTGCAAAATGTGTCCTATTATTTTCAGATTATAGTCACTGGACAATACTAATGTTTAGTGACTATTCAAATTAAAAAAATCAAATTCAGATTTGTTTCTTTTTATGCAGTACAAAAATAATGTAGTTTACTTGTAATAAAACATTGTTAAATACAAAAGCCACAAGTTTGCAATGCATTTTGGGCAGACTAATCCTAATGCTTAAAGACTACACTAAAACAGCAGTGCAGATTAAGGACTGCTGACTACCATTCAGTAGTATTGTATGTAATTTTTGTTTGTGCTACAAAATGCTGCAAGCAAATGGTAAATAACAACAAAAATTGTACTCTAGTGTAAGGTGTTTACATTTCTAATTTGATTTTTCAATGCACCAGTTGTCTCCCACTGAGGTAGGGTGACCCAAGAAAGTGGAACTCATTCATTGTCATTCAGCCATTTTCTGTTTTGCCAGAAGCATACTGATATTACAGCTCAGATAGCTCTACGAGCTGCAACATCCCAACCTGTCTTTCAGAGAGTAGGCACTGTACTTCAGATCTCTAGGAGTCAAGTCTGGTCAACCAGTTTCCCTGAATCCCTTCACAAATGTTACCTTGCTCACATTCCAACAGGATGTCAAGTCAAAATTTCTTGCCTCCACTTACTCATGAATAGCTACATTATTATATAAACTAGACTCATATTTTCATTAATTTTTTTTTAAAACTGGCCATCTCCCACCAAGGCAGGGTGATGCGAAAAAGAAGAAACTTTCATAAATTTTTTCTTCTTTTGGCATTTAGTAATTTATACAGGAGAAGGGGTTACTAGCCCCTTGCTTTTCTCTTACGACATGCATGGCAAGATTTTATGTAACTATTTGTTAGAACATCTCAAGTATGCAGTTTTCTGTATAAACCTGACTATAATAATTAATCATTGATGCAACATATTACAGTGAAATACATTACATCTGTATTTTCTTGTTTGAGAAAACAGCACATGTCTGAATTACTGGCTTATGAAGTAAGATTTCATTGAAGAACAGAAGAGTAATAATGCATAGGTAGATTTATATTTAGTGCATTTTGTAAAAAGTTTATAGTTTCTATGCAGATTTGACAAGATAATCGAGTATTTTACCTCCCTATCATACATTGTACTACAGCAGATTCATGACTAACTTCCTATAAGTGTAAAGGTTGCCTTTTGTATTTAATGTTCATTCAGTAGCCTGAAACATGAGAATATTATTTTTATTTCAGATAATGAACAAAAAAAGAAAAAGTTTGCAAATTGGAGCATAATGAATTGTCTAGCAACACTAGTAACATGGCTTAGTTACTTCTTTATTGCCCTTACATTCCCCATCACTCTGTGGTTCTGTTTCAAGAAAATAGCCCAATGGGAACGCCTCATTGTGTTTCGCCTCGGGAGACTACGGGGGGCACTGGGGCCTGGTTTGGTGTTCATAATCCCCTGGCTGGATCATCATACACGAGTTGACATGAGGACCAAAGCATTCTCTGTGCCTCCACAACAGGTAATTGGATTAAATTTGGCGAAGCAAATTTTATTTTCCATCATTATTATTATAATCAAAACCAAGTGCTAAACCCACATTTTCTGTCATTAAATCAAATTATATGGTCTTATTTTATTACATATATAAATAAATGAGGTATTTTAGGAAGCTGGATTTGGTTGGTTGGTGTATAAAATTTTTTGATGACTTACGTTATAGGGATGTCATATTTTTTTTAAATTTAAATTATTATTATTATAATCAAAAAGAAGCGCTAAGCCACAAGGACTATACAGCTTTTAAATTTAAAGAATGTCAAAATAAGAGGATGTTTAGAAAATTAAAAGAAAGCTTCATACAGGTCGGCCATCACTAATCCAGCACTAATTTTGGTTAGCATAATTTTAAATTTCATTATACTGACTCAGAAGTTGTGCAGATGGTTGTAAATCCACAGCAGCAAGCCAGTGGAGGAGAAAGCAGTGATGAAAATGAGGAAGATGTAGCAGTCTCTCTATTGCCAAGTTAATTAAGTGTATTCTAACCTAACGACTCTGTAATCCAGCAAACTCACTAATCCGGCACACTACAGGTCCCAGTGATGCCGGATTAGTGATGGCCGACTTGTACATAGTTCTTAATATAACAGTTTTTCTTAATACTATATAGTGCTAGTATACTGTCTATCCAAATAGTACTTAATAACCCTGAAATCAAATTGACTGTACTATTTTTTTTTTCAGCTAATTACAGCTGATAATGGAATAATAGAGATGGGCTGTGAGGTGAAGTATCGGATCAGTGACGTACAACGACTGACCATTTCAGTTACGTCTCCCGAGCATGGCTTGCGATCATTCGGAAAAACAGTTATGCTGAATGTTCTTACCAAGAATACTGTCAGGTCAGACTTGCAATTGCATTTACCAGTTTTCTGGTTACTGTTGAGTATTCATGGGGGAGCTAAACCCATAAGAATCATATAGTGCATAGGGAATGGGTGGTAATCAGATTTGATTCAAGGGTAGAGCTTTTCTAGTTTCTTGGATCAGGAGCCCTTTACCAGCATCAAGGCATACATACCCCTTAAGGGGCCATGATGACTTGGTAACAAAAGATGGTGTATTATTATTATTATAATCAAGGGGGGAAGCGCTAAACCCGGAGGATTATACAGCGCCTGGGGGGGGGATGTGGAAGGCATTCAGGCTTAATTTGGGGAACTGGAGCACAGATCCAATTCCCTAAATCAAGAGCCCCTCACCAACATCAAGGAACCTTCCTTGAGGGGAAAAGATGGTGTAATTCAAGCACAATTGTGTATCTCAAAATTTTCATCGCAGCTCAAAACTAAATTCCTTTATGAGGGCAAATTGTAACTCAAAATTATTGTAACTCCAGCCCATCATAACTCCAGGGACTACTGTACTTTAATACTGTTTAAAAATGTATTATTATTTTAATTTATGCATTTATTATAAGTTAGTACCAAACTGGCACACGAAAATCACTCCCTACGAAAGCAAAAGACTTGGCAGACGATGCAACATCCACTCAATGAAAAGCAGGGGCGCCACTAGCACAATAAGAGACAGCACAATAAGTGTTGGGGGCCCAAGACTGTTCACCTGCCTCCCAACATACATAAGGGATGATTACCAATAGATCCTTAGCTGTCTTCAAGAAGGTACTGGACTGGCACCTAAAGTCATTACCTGACCAGCCGGGCTGTGATTCATACGTTGGGTTGCATGCGGCCAATAGTAACAACCTGGTTGATCAGGTCCTGATCCACCATGAGGCCTGGTCACAGACCGGGCCACAGGGGGTTGACTCCCAAGACCCTCTCCAGGTATACTCCAGTACAGTGGACCCCCGCATAGCGAACGCCTTGCATAGCGAACAATCCGCATAGCGGACGCTTTGTTCGCTAAAATTTTGCCCCGCATAGTGGACAAAAACCCGCTCAGCGGCCTTCGTCCGAGACGCGTCCAATGTGCGCCCTCAGCCAGCCTCACATGTGCCGCCCGTGCCATTGTTTACCAGCCAGCCTCCGCGGTAACATTCAAGCATACACTCGGAATATTTCGTATTATTACAGTGTTTTCGGTGCTGTTTCTGGAAAATAAGTGACCATGGGCCCCAAGAAAGCTTCTAGTGCCAACCCTACACCTCAAAGGGTAAGAATACCCATTGAAATGAAGAAAGAGATCATTGATAAGTATGAAAGTGGAGTACGTATACCGACCTGGTCAGGTTGTACAAGAAACCAAAATCAACCATCTCTTCTATTGTGGGCAAGAAAACGGCAATCAAGGAAGCTGTTTTGCCAAAGGTTTAAACTGTGTTTTCGAAACAAAGATCGCAAGTGATGGAAGATGTTGAGAGACTCTTATTGGTGTGGATAAATGAAAAACAGCTAGCAGGAGATAGCGTCTCTCAAGCGATCATATGTGAAAAGGCTAGGAAGTTGCATGACGATTTAATTAAAAAATGCCTGCAACTAGTGATGATGATGAGTGAATTTAAGGCCAGCAAAGGTTGGTTTGAGAGATTTAAGAAGCGTAGTGGCATCCATAGTGTGATACGGCATGGTGAGGCTGCCAGTTCGGACCACAAGCGGCTGAAAAATATGTGCATGAATTCAAGGAGTACATAAAACTGAAGGACTGGAACCTGAACAAGTGTTTAATTGTGATGAAACAGGCCTGTTCTGGAAGAAAATGCCAAGCAGGACCTACATTACTCAGGAGGAAAAGGCACTCCCAGGACATAAGCCTATGAAAGACAGGCTTACTTTGTTGATGTGTGCATGCTAGTGGTGATTGCAAAGTTAAGCCTTTATTAGTGTATCACTCTGAAACTCCCAGAGCGTTCAGGCAAAAGAATGTCCCAAGGATAATTTGTGTGTGCTGTGGAGGGCAAACAGTAAGGCATGGGTCACTAGGGAATTTTTCTATAACTGGTTACACCATGCATTTGCCCCCAAGTGAAAGATTACCTAACTGAAAAGAAATTAGACCTTAAGTGCCTCCTGGTGTTAGACAATGCCCCTGGTCATCCTACAGACGTGGCAGAGCGACTTTATGGGGACATGAGCTTCATTAAGGTGAAGTTTTTGCCTCCTAATACCACTCCTCTCCTGCAGCCCATGGACAGCAGGTCATTTCCAACTTCAAGAAACTGTACACAAAAGCTCTGTTTCAAAAGTGCTTTGAAGTGACACAGACACTCGATTGACTCTAAAAGAGTTTTGGAAGGATCACTTTAATATCCTCAATTGTGTAAACCTTATAGGTAAGGCTTGGGAGGGAGTGACTAAGAGAACCTTGACTCTGCTTGGAAGAAACTGTGGCCAGAATGTGTAGACAAAAGGGATTTTGAGGTTTGAGGCTAACCCTGAGAGGAGTAGTATACCAGTTGAGGAATCAATTGTGGAATTGGGGAAGTCCTTGGGGTTGAGGTTAGTGGGGAGGATGTGGAAGAGTTGGTGGAGGAGGACAATGAAGAACTAACCACTGATGAGCTGATAGATCAACTTCAAGAGCAAGAGGCCAGACCTGGGGAAACTGGTTCAAAGGAGGGGAGAGAGAAATTGAAGGAATTGCCTACTTCAAAGATTAAGGAAATGTGTGCAAAATGGCTTGAAGTGCAAACCTTTTTTGATGAAAATCACCCTCACACAGCTATTGCAAGCCGGTGCTGGTGACTGTTACAATGACACTGTTGTGAACCACTTTAGACAAATCATAAAGGAACGAGAGGTACAGGCCACTATGGACAGATATGTTGTGCGAAAAGAAGTCCAGTGACTCTGAAGCTGGTCCTAGTGGCATTAAAAGAAGAAAGGAAGTAACCCCAGAAAAGGACTTGCTACCTCAAGTCCTAATGGAAGGGATTCCCCTTCTAAACACTAACACTCTCTCTCCCCTCCTCCCATCCCATCAATCATCACCAGATCTTCAATAAAAGTAAGTGTCATGTAATTGTGCATGCCTTTTTCAGTTTGTGTGTACTAAAATTAACATTTTTTTGTGGTAAAAAAAATTTTTTTTCATACTTTTGGGTGTCTTGCACGGATTAATTTTATTTCCATTATTTCTTATGGGGAAAATTAATTCGCATAGCGAACATTTCGCATAACGGCCAGCCCTCTTGCACGGATTAAGTTCGCTATGCGGGGGTCCACTGTACCACTTTTCTATATCATGGAATTAAAAAATATGGATAACATTCTCCATCTGATTGTTATCATAAATTACATTCTGCCATTTATTGAAAAGGGCATCGAGTTTTTTCAGTGGGGTGTGATTTTTGTTGCTTGTTACCTGTACTAATGTTATTGACATTACAGAGAGACTGAACGAGACCGGCCCGTGATTGCTGCACAGATACAGAAGGAGCTCAATTTGAGAGTTCTTGAATGGGGTATTGAAATTGGAGATGTAACATTGTAAGTATTTCTACAAATTACAGTATGCAACTCATTTTTATTTTTATATTTTTAAAAGATTTTTGTTGCCGTACATATTGTCTACAGTTTTATGGTTACATTCTAATTTCATGAATCTACTTTCCTGTACAGTGGAACCTCTACTTAAGAGTGCGTCCACGTGCGAGTTTTTCCGAATACGAGCAGCTGCTCGGTCGACTTTTTGCTTCCAGACACGAGCAAAATTTCCAGATGCGAGCAGGCCTCAAGGGAGGTTAATTGGCACTGGTGAGGGGGCTCTTGCTCTTGATTTAGGGAATTGGATCTCAGTTGTTTGTTGGATTATCTTATTGAAACTTGGGCAATGTATGATGAAAAGATACTTCTTAACGTACACCAAAAATGAAAGAAATCGGACCATAAATAATGGAGTTCACTTCTCAGCCATTAGCCTCCCCTTAGTGGTATATTTTCGTATGGTTTTTATGGTTGTATTCTCGTTTTATTTGGTCTCGTGTAATAGAATGGAAGATATACTACAAAAATATGATTTTAATTCGTTTCACGATGAAAAGTACCTTGAAATTGAGCTCAAAATAGCAAAAATGTTTGATTCTTTGGCGACATCAGTGGTAAACATCATGAGGTAGCAGTGGCAAAGTGTATCATTAAGAGTGTAGCAATTAAGTGAAGCATTAAGAGTGTAGCACTTATAAGTCACTCTATCTGACTTTTTTGGGTTATCCTAGGTTCTCTACACATGTAGTCAGGAGCAGGAATGGCCGCTGTGGTGGCCCTATAAACCCCAACAACAATGGCTGCTGTCACCACCACTAGCCACATACCTAATGACATGTATTTTATTCATTCTAGTGTATATATCATGTTTCTATGTTATTAATATTGTTTATTATGTCATATTACATGAATTGTGATAGATAAATAAACTGTAGAGTTGATATTAGGGAAATTATTAAAGTGTTTTCTTGTGCCTGGAATTCCACTGGAATGAATTAATTCAATTTCAATTAATTTAAATGAGGAAAATTGACGATGCGAACGAGCAAATCCAGTTACGAGCAAGGTCATGGAACAAATTAAACTCGTAAGTAGAGGTTCCACTGTACAGTGAACCCCCGCATAACGATTACCTCCGAATGGGACCAATTATGTAAGTGTATTTATGTAAGTGCGTTGGTACGTGTATGTTTGGGGGTCTGAAATGGACTAATCTACTTCACAATATTCCTTATGGGAATAAATTCGGTCAGTACTGGCACCTGAACATACTTATGGAGTGAAAAAATATCGTTAACCGGGGGTCCACTGTATTTAGTACTTGTGTTCGTATATTCTGTATGTATTTTTATCTCATGTTAAATTAAGACGTGGTTAATGTTGAATATAATTGAAACTTTACAGATACAGTACTCACCTCTCAGTATTAACCCTTTCAGAGCTTCAGCCGTACTAGTACAGCTTACGCACCAGTGTCCATGACGTACTAGTACGCCTAAATTCTAGCGCCCTCAAATCTAGTGAAAGCTGGTAGGCCTACATATGAAAGAATGGGTCTATGTGGTCAGTGTGCGCAGTATAAAAAAAAATCCTGGAGCACATAGTGCGTAACAAGAGAAAAAAAAATGACAGCGTTTTTGGATTAAAACAGCGACTTTGCACTGTACTTTCGTATGGTATTTATTGTTGTATTCTAGTTTGCCTGGTCTCATTTTATAGAATGGAAGACATATTACAGAAATTGAGATGATTTTGACTGGTTTTACAATGAAAAGTACCTTGAAATTGAGCTCAAAGTAGCAGAAATGTTCGATTTTTACCAAAGTTCAAAAGTAAACAAATCGTGCTGTGTCCAATACACGTCAACTGGTGAGTCTAATATTCTTTCACAAGTGTGCTGATATTATTTATACCATTTCTACACTAATGCAGTAGTCTGCATAACAGTAAATCTTCTATTTTTTTTGTAAGAATAAAAATTCAAAGTGAAAAGCAAAAGAATGTAAGAGGGGCGTGGGGACGTGACTAATGAACAGAGGAAATGTTATTTTAGTGCCAGGAATGTCTTCTTGTTTATTCTGGACCCTATTCAGAAACTGGCATCTTTTCAAATTTGTGAGAGATTGGCAAAATTGCTAAATTCTGACGACTGTATTTAATAGTTGAAATCGGTAAATGGGTGGTTTCTTGTACTCATTCGATAGAAAAAATGGAGTTCTAGTGAAATAGTTATGATTTTTGTCGACTAGTACACTGGAATTGGCCGAAAATAGGGCTCAAAGTGGGCAAAATCGCCGATGCATGAACATCGTCGAGACCACTAACTTCGCGAGAGCATAATTCCGTAAGTTTTCCATCAAATTTCATACTTTTGGTGTCATTATGATCGGGAAAAGATCATCATGACACCAAGGAAATAAGGGGGAGCGGGAAAGAGTTGTCACTGTGCATTATATAGACTGGACTTCGAAATGAGGTAAATTAGTATAAAGACTCTTAGGCTGTAAGTTCAGTTGTGTAAAAAAAAAACTTACTTCTAAAAATATTTCTCATATAGGAGTACTGTCAACATTCTCAAGGAGGCAGAACCCAACAATCCCCTTAAACCCATCTTGAACTGCTTCGGAGGAGGAGGTGGGGAAATCATGGCTCCCCCGGCATCAGCTGCTTCAGCAGCCTCGGGAATGTTCAACATACCTGGGCTTGGAAATATGGGCGATTTCAACTTCCTCAGTGGTATATCAAAAAAGAAATCAGAAGCCATTGGTAAGTTTCTCCACTGAATTCCCCCCAAAAAAGACTACACAGTATTAAACTGAATTCCTAGAGCTTTCAGGTATGAAATACTATACTGTACATTATATTTTTCTATATAAATTTTTAATATTTTTCCCAACATGTTTTTTAACAAGTTACCTAAATTGTTCAGCTTTTGTATTGCTTTTTGTACCTAGAGCTATTTTTTTTTTTGTCTTTAGATGTCATTCATTTACATTTTCACAGTTGCCTCGTCAGAGTTTAGTTATCCTTTTTTTCTGCCACTTCCCAGTTCCTGATTATTTTACACTGTATAATTTTCGTCTTCATATCTGAAAAGATATAATCAAATTTCTTTTGGAAAGTATCAGATATATTTTTATGTATTTTCTTAATAGCACATTAAAAATGCCAAATCAGTACTGATGAAAAAAAAAAAGATTACAAAAAGGAACGAGTTCTACACTGTATAATAAAAGAAATTTGAGCCAGAATAAAAGATTTTGCTCTACCTGTGTGAGTCGAGTCAGTGCAAGGAGTGGCACTGGCTCTATCCTCCTTCCTCTAATCATGTACATCTTTCTTTACCACAGTGATGGGGCCTTATCTCAAGGAATTTAAACTAATTCTCTTCTTCAGATCTTGCACTTCCCTGGTTTTTCCCCAATGAATATAACAATAATTTGAACAGAAAAGCTATATTTATTTGAATCAGGCCAGGAAACATTAAACCCATAAGGGTCATGTAGTGCTTGGGGAATTGGGAGGCACTCGGATAGAATAAGAGGATAAATCCAGTTCCATGAATTAAGACCACCCTTTCCCCTCACCCTTGAGGTAACAGAATAGCAATAGAATGTTAAAATGAGAGATGTCAAGTTTTGGAAGGAGTCAGGGAGTGCAATCATTGAGGTGGGTTTGTCCACATTATGCATGGAACAGTGAAGAGAGAAATAAGCAAATGTAATAAAAGGAAAACATTAAACAATTGGATCAGTAGGGTAGATTATGAAAGGAAAAGCATTACTCTGGCTCCTGGCCATTAGTAGCAACAACCTACTTAAACAAATAGTTGAAGTCACAATCCTGGGTATGCATGAAGAAAGACAGCAGCATCAGCTTAATCCTTTAACTTAAACCACTGGGAATGAAATCAGGGTGTGGAATGTTATGTAACTTTTAAGTTTCGAGATGTAACAACAGCCTTTCGTGACTATAGTCCTGCCAGCCCTTACCATTAGGAATAAAATAATTATATGGAATGAGAAAGTTAATCTAAAATTTAGGCTGTAGAATTTTTTTTTTTTTTTTCAACAAGTCAGCCGTCTCCCACCGACTACTCAAAAGTTGATGAGAAAAAGCAATAGAGAAATGCACAAAAGTTGGGGAATATCAGAGAAAGCATGGAGAGCAGAATGTAGTGTAGTTGCACAGAAGCTCAGGTGGTATACTGCTTTTGTTCATCACCAGGGAGATGATAAATGACTGACTTGCAAGGAAAATTATGAGTGAAGTTTTTAAGTCCGAGTGACAAACGAACAGCTAACACCACAGGAAGATTATGTTCAGAGCTTGAGTTTTTTTTTTTTTAACATGGTTAACTGTTCTCCAGTAGAGTTTACGGCTAAGGAGAGTGTCAGAAATGTTGGCTGAATGTGCTCTAGTTTCTTGATAACCAAGAAATACTGTATCCTTTACTTGCATTAAATCCATCTTAGTTTATAATTTTCTTGGGTTTTTTTAAGTCTATCAGTTAGTTTTAAAAATGTGCAGCTTTTTATCAAATTGTTTCATCTTTTATTTACTTATTTTTTTTTTATTTTTTTTGCTCATGAATTAACAAGCTTGAAGTCATTACTTGCAATCAACTCACACTGAGAGAAAGGTAATTCCATCTATTGCTGTATATCGAGGCTTGCATAAAGGAATTAGTCATACAAAAGTAGATGAGTGTATTTTAATGTTCATACATCTTCCTAAGCAAGTTTTCCACATGCATTATTAGTTTAAGACAACTGTTACATTTAAAAAAAAATTAATTAAGTTGCTTGGCCTTTCCTAAATTCTGTCACTAGTACACAGTATTCACTAACTGTTAGGTAACCTTATTGCTACCGATTCTGGCAGAGAATATATAACAGGCATCTATTGCTTAATAAACCCTTTGACTGTCGTGGCCGTATATATACGTCTTACGAGGTACCGTGTTTGACGTATATATACTCATAAATTCTAGCGGCTTCAAATCAAGCAGGAGAAAGCTGGTAGGCCCACATATGAGAGAATGGGTCTGTGTGGTCAGTGTGCACCATATAAAAAAAAATCCTGGAGCATGCAGTGCATAATGAGAAAAAAAAAACTCCGACCGTTTTTTTTAATTAAAATACCGACTTTGTGGTCTATTTTCGTATAGTATTTATGGTTGTATTCTCGTTTTCTTGGTCTCATTTGATAGAATGGAAAACAAATTATAGAAATAGAGGTGATTTTGATTGATTTTACTATAAAAAGAACCTAGAAATGGAGCTCAAAGTAGTGGAAATGTTTGATTTTTGCCAATGTCCAAAAGTAAACAAATGATGCCATTGTCCAATAAATGTCCAACTAGCCATTCTAATATGCAGTCATGAATGGGTTGATGTTATTTATACAATTATTACAGTATTGCAGTAGTCTGCATAATAGTAAGTCTTCTATTTTTTGTTTGAATAAAAATTCAAAATAGAAAGCAAGAGTAATATCAGAGGGGCCTGGAGACGTGACTGATGAACAAAGAAAATGTTATTTTAGAGCCAGGAATGTCTGCATTGTTCATTCTGGACCTTATTTTGAAATTGTCATATTTTTTAGTTTTTGTGAAATTGGCCAAATTGCAAATTTCTGACCACATTATTAGGTAGTTGAAATCGGTAAATGGGCAGTTTCTTGTACTCAATCGATAGAAAAAATGGAGTTCTAAAGAAATAGCTATGAGTTTGGGCGACTGGAACAATGGAATTAGCCCAAAATAGGGCTCAAAGTGGACAAAATCGCCGATTTGTAAACAGCGCCGAGGTCGCTAACTTCGTGAGAGCATAATTCCGTCAGTTTTCCATCAAATTTTGTTTTTTTTGGTGTCATTACAATCGGGAAAAGATTCTCTATCATTTCATAAGAAAAAATAATTTTTTTTTTTTTAAATTTTGCAATACCAGGAGACACCTCAGGATTGGGGGTTGCGACAGTCAAAGGGTTAACCTAAATGCATTAAAAGACAAATGATACATTGTTGAACAACAATTACAAATGTGTTGTTGTCATGCTCCAAATATATTTTGCTTTGGGGGATGAGTTGGGTTTGAGATATGCAGTTCATTCCTCTATTACATGTTGTTGGTTCATATTTAGTGCTTCCCTAAAAAAAAATTATTGGGAATAATATATTGCTAATTTTTCCCAGGAATCCATCAAAGATTATGTAAAAAGTGTATGGGGAAAACAGATATCTTATAACACAAAGCCTCATTAAGCAAAGGATGCCTTTTTTTTTATCACCATTGTTATACTGAGTGTGGTCATCATTACCTATTTATTTACTATTTTTAATTTTGTACAAGAAAATATTGTATGCATTGTAAACTTTTAGGCTTATGCCAGCAAGCTTTGTCCCCAAACTTATATCGCTTCATTGTCCTAGATAAACTTTCATCATATCCTTCATTGCTTCCACTGCTTATATGCTGACTGTTAGAATCACATTAATTACATACCTAGCTGCACCCTTCCAGTATCCTAGTAGTTATAATTACCAGTGTTTGTAAGGGTAAACTTGTAAGCTTCATAGTACAGTACTGTATGTTATTATATTATGAATGCACACAGTCACCCTATAATGCCTTGCGTCTATTTCTGTATTTGTTACTGTATAAATTTATTTTTATTACAGATGAAGCCTCATACATGAGGAATGGGCTGCATTTCTTTACAGGTATTGACCCTTCTGAGGAAATTGTGTTGAACTGTCTTTCACCAAATCATTGTTAAATACTACAGTCCCTGGAATGATCAAAAGTATCGGTCAAAAGTCTGAAGTGGAGCAGTTCTCTCATGAATAATGTTTAGTCAAACCACCTATTAGTCAGAAGCTTAATGTACAGCATGTTTCACATAATAGCATGTGGAAATTAAATGGTCCCAATTCCCACATTTCCATCCTCATTTCATTTGGTATAGAAATTAAAAAATTGATGATATAATAGGATTTTCCTTTAGTTGTTAGCATATTGCATGATGCTGTTTCTCTGCATCTACATAGATGCACCTTGCCTGTATGAATTTGTACTATCCCTTAAAACACACAGCTGGAGGGAAAAAAAAAAAAACGATAATTTTAGAATTAAATCATGAAAGATGTACTGTATGAAATACATCTTATACAGTACATACCAACACTGTATATTACAGAAAAGAAATAAAGCAAAGTGTAGTTTACACGTAATAAAATATTGTTAAGCACAACAGACAGCCACTAGCATGCGGTGCATTTCGGGCAGATTAATCCTGATTCTTACAGACTGCTTGAAAACTAGACATAGATTATTTAGTAGTTTTCTAAAATAAGTAGATTATTGTGTGGAATAAGAAAATTTCAGAGTGGTGAGATAACGTTATTGTGTCAAGTTAATGTATATTTCACTAAGATAGCTCAAATGCTTGTAATAATTCAATCCTAAAGGTATTTTATTTAACTCTTTCACTGCCTGTCATGTAGATCTAGGCAATAGGGGTTAGCGTTACTTACAGCACCTGTAAATTTGCTCTGAGTGGCAAATTTTGAATCTGTGCTGTGGGTGTACACTTTATGAAAAAATCTGCCTTCAACAGTGCGTAATGGAAGTAGTTAACCTCTGACCTCATGCTTGGGTTAAAATAGCAAATTTGGGGAATTTTTTAGCATGGTTCTCATGCTTTATTTGGCTGTTTTTGATGCCAGTAGACAGAATAAAAAAATCAGACTGGAAGTGGCCTGAAATAAGGCTCAGAGTGGTTGAAATTATCAATTTTGGGGGATTTTCTTGGGAAAAGGTAGGGAAATGGGCCCCCATAACTGTGTCTTACCTCTTGGTCTGCTTTATGGGTTTTTGCTAGGTCTGCTTCAGTTTTTGAACAGCCTAAACTATGATGAAACATTCTTGGTTATTGTTTATTAGCTGAGAAATAGGGGAAACTGAATTTTTTTGTGTGTGATGGATTGAAAATTGAGGGCCAGTATTATATAGGAGTGACCTGGGGATATGAGCGATGAACAGAGGAACATTTGCTTTAGTGGCTGGAATGCCAACAGTGTTTATTTTGGACTCTTATTTTTAAATTGGAATTTGTTGAAAATAGTGTAAAATTTACCATATTCATGACTTTTGGGTTCTTAATAGGGTAGATTCTGATACATGAATGAGCATTTTCTTGTTATCAGTGGCATGCTGGAAATTGGGTAGAGTACTCACAACCTTCAACCTTGTGCCTGTGTAATTCCATAAGTATTACATTAAATTTTGTATTCTTAGTGGCATTTCCTTTAGAAAAAGCTTATCTACCAGTCAGTTTCAAATTGAAAAGGTGAACCATGTCAAAGACACACTGGAAATCTCGGTTAAATTAAGATTAAAAAAAATTAGAACAGGTCCTAAACAACCACTGTGAGGGAAAATGTGTTGTTTTTCAAGAGAACATGGGATTATTTGGTCTTCTTGAAAGGGTATTCCTTGTGGGTTTAGTGCTTAGTTATGATTATGATAATAACTGAAGGGGTACTTTTTTAAGGGTTGCCAAGATTTTTTTAGTATATTTTTCTTCCTCCTTGGCTTTTGTTTATAACTCAAGAACACCTCATCCAGTCGGCAAGAACTTTGTGTATGTGCAGGTGCCCTCTGGTAAATTTTATATAGGCCATTCTAGGATTTGGTTGTCATGCAGTAATTTGGGAATGAAACTAAAGAAAGTACAGCCTCTCCTGACTCAATGACAGAGTTCCATTCCTAAGACCACATTGGTAAATGAACTTGTTTCATGTGAGGAGCATACTATCATGGTTGTGGGTGTTTGTCAACCATCTTTGATATTGTTTTAATGTCATCTTTGCACCATTTATAACATTTTTGGTATATTTTTAAATGTTTATACAGTACAGGTCTCCCTCAACATTTGCGAGGGTTAGGGAATCAAGAGTCTCGCAAATGTTCAAAAGTCGTGAATGTTTGGTGCCCCAATTTATTGTAGGGCATAATACAATACTGCTTCCTTAACTTGTTGAACCATGAACAATCATAAAATACATGAAAACATCATAAAATATTGTACTATATACATACACGTTATTAAACCGTAACATATATGTTATTAAATACTACTGCCTCAACCACTGCAGTGCACTGCCTCTTATTTTTATACAATTTCTTTCTTCAATTCTATGGTGTTTATCAATTTCTTTACCAAAGGGTTGGCACTAGCAAGTTTCTTTGGGCCCATGGTTAATTACGTAGCAGTCGCACTCAATCTACAAGCACCAAACACAATGAATTATTGTGAAATGTTTGGAAGAGTGTAGAGGCTAATGCTCACTCCAGCATAAACAAAGCCAAACTGACTCACGATGCCTCCACCACTGCTTTGAGCCTCGTATTATTGTACAATTTCCTTCTTCAATTCTATCATATTAATTATTATTATTATTAGCAGTAGCAGAAATGTTCGATTCTTTGCTTTGTTCAAGAGTAAACAAATAATGTCACCGTTCAATACGTGTCCGAATGGCCATTCCAATATGCAGTCATGAATGGGTTGACATTATTTATACTGTAGTTTAGTAGCAAATAATGAACAAACAAAACGCTCACGACACTGAGTGGCGGGCTGGCTGGCTGCCAGTTGCGAGGGTTGGAGGGAGGGTAGTAGGGACATGCGGGTGGTGGGAAACTCGAATATGATTTGGTGGCTGGGAATTCGCAAATGTGTGAAGCCCGCGAAAGTTGAAAACGTGAATGTTGAGGGAGACCTGTAGTGTACTGTATATTGTAATAAACTGAATAGAGGAAATCAGCTGTAATATACATTATTTAGGCATGCAAACTGGTCAGAGAGCCCGTTGTAAGTCCGAGTCGTCGGTAAATAAGTATGTCGCTAAGCGAGGAGAGGCTGTATATTCTCGTGCTTGTGGTGTTAATTGTGCTATTTTACCTGAGTCAGGCAACATTATGAGGCCACATGCCCTGACATCATAAATCCTCCCTTCCTCACCCTACATACTACCACTTTCTGATTCGTCACCATTTTTCACTATGCTTCATTATCCAACCACAAAGAAGAACAAAAAGGCACATTACTTTGACTGGAACAATACACAAACATTCGTGTGATGTATCCACCACACCTCTCCATTACTCCTATGAGTTGCCTTCACAACTTTATTTGTTACACGTGCATGAGGGGCTATTATAATGTTTAATGAAGGGCAAAAATGTGTCGGCCCATGACACATATAATATTAATCAACATCTTCCTTTGATGCTCACTGCCCCCACCCTTGCAGCATTCCACTTTTACTGCCTCGGATTTTTGCTGCCTGGTGCCCTCAGTACCAATTCTTGCCACATTTTGAGTTGTATCTACTGGTACAACTATATATGATGGAAGAGGTAGAAATTTATTTATCTACAGTAGGGAGTGCTGTCTGTTGTCTTTGTTTTTTGTATGATTGTTAACAGATGTTCCTGCTTTTTTTTATTGATCTTTTCTGGCCTGGTGGCTAAAGCTCCCGCTTCACACACGGAGGGCCCAGGTTCAATTCCCAGTGGGTGGAAACATTTCGACACGTTTCCTTACACCTGTTGTCCTGTTCACCTAGCAGCAAATAGGTGTTAGTCGACTGGTGTGGGTCGCATCCTGGGGGACAAGATTGAGGACCCCAATGGAAATAAGTTAGACAGTCCTCGATGACGCACTGACTTTCTTGGGTTATCCTGGGTGGCTAACCCTCCGGGGTTAAAAATCCGAACGAAATCTTATCTCTCTTAAAAGTGTTAGTCGATTGTGTCATCTCGTTAATTGCTTTATGATTAAGAGAGCACTCACTATATTTTTTTTTTTTACCCTTCCATGGCTTCAAAACTTGAATAATGTTTATTTGAACTGTTCTTGTGAGGGAACAAGGGATCATATTATAACCTGAAAGACTTTGGCTAATCATAATTCTTTTTAACTGAAAGGTGGATGTTGTTATTGGGTGTCTACTGTATTGGGGAGGAGGTTAAAAATTATTTTGACTAATCATAACAAGTGCAGATTGAAAGCAGTTAAGAAAGACTTTGGATAAATGCTTTAGATTACAAAATCCTATACCGAGTCTATATTCCTGTGAATATATAGATGATACCTTGAGGAATTGCTGGTCTTAATTAAACAATGGTTATCGTAATTCTCAGAGTATCCTGAATTATTAATAATAATATTTTATTTTGACATGATACATGTTTTTTTAAAGGAATATAATAATTGGGTGGACATGTCAAAAGCCACTTTATATGCAGAGCATTTCAGGCAAACTTAAAATTAACTTAAGATTAATAAGGCAATAATTGTACATATGGTCATTAGATGAGTTACAATGAATACAAGAGAATTGAGAATTCCATTAGGTCATGCTATATGGCTTTAATAAGTCTTGTAGAGAAGATGTACAAGAAACTTGCTTACCACTAGCTTGCTATTTAAATTTGTAAAATACTGTCTTTTTAAAAACTGAAGAGGTCTGTAGGAAAGCTTTTTAGAATATTTATTTATAAAAATTAATTTGTTTAAAGTATCTAACCCCTGTTTTATATTTTCTGTAACAAATTATTTTGATAGCATTTTTTCTCTTAACAGAAGTGATTTAAAATTTTTATACTGTATAAACATTTGAACCATTAAGATTCCCATAGTGGTGGATGATGACCTAAGTTGACACTTGGGGACAAAGACAGTGTTGCAGTGAAATTTCTACTACTAAAATATTTTTGTCTAGGCCTCTGACTTTATCATATATACATACTTGGTAAAGTCCAACCCTGGACAAAAACTTTTAGCAGTAATAAGGATTTTTTTGCATCATTTTCCTCCAAGATTTTGATAATTGTAAATTCTGTTCAGTGGAGAGAAATGTGGAATTTCTGGGACATCTTTTACATTGTAATTTTTTTTTATATCAATTAAAACTAGTACGTATTTAAAATTTCTGAATTTAAAAATACTAACAGTGTACCTCATGTAATTTAAAGCATGGCTTTTTCAATTATTTTATGAAGTTATATCATCATTTTTCTAGAGTTTTTTTTTAAATATTTTTCTAAATTTTCTTTTGACAAATTGCTCTTACTGTATAGATAAATTAACGTATTAATTTATTGCTGCTTAGCATTTATCCTTGATTTGCAAGTTTCTTTTAGCCTGTTACTGTTTGGCAGTTTGAATTGGCATTCCTCCATGATTTGCAAGATATGTCCTCCTGCATGGGTATCACCTCTTAATATCCCAAATGTCTCCGCCACACAGATCTACTGGATTTCTCAGACGAAAATAGTGAGCCACCTAAGCAGCTAAACAATCAAGGTATTCCTGACCTGATAACTTCGGAATTTCTTGTGCATGTATTACATAATAAATGGTGTCAGTAACACAACTATTATTTCAATGTTGCATATGTAAAAGCATTTTGTGACAACATTACATGATAAACCTATTTCAGGAAATTGTTTAGTAGTAATTTATTTCAAGTTGTTTATCCAATCTCTTCATTCATTACTGATGTCTGCATACTGATACTAACACACTTAATATTTTGTTATGTGTATGTTAATTTTTTCCATAACTTTTACCATCCATCATTACCAGACTTAATTATGCTCTTTCTTTGTCATTCCCTTTGTAGTTAGACCTTTAATATACGTATTCAGATGGCTTCACTTTCCTATTTATCCATTCTTATGGCTTAAAGATTTTCCTGCAAGGTGCTCCTTCAAATTTTTATTAACACAGAGTGCTGAAACTGAACATGCATATCAGTGCTTTGGATTAAATCCTAACCAGGTTAGTGTCGCATGATTAAGGAAGTATACTATGTTCACTTCAGTTATTATATCGGGCTTGTCAGCGAAGGTAAATCATCAGTACAAAGCTTCATCTGCTTCCTTTCACAGCATTTGGATTGGACCAGTGTGGGTTGAAAAGGCAAGGAGTTAGAAATTAGTGCATTATCACCTTTAACTTATCATTTATGTACACAAGGTAGTACTGTAGCATGTTAATCTTGTTTCATACTTTTGCCTAAGACAGGTGCAATAGTGGCATTTTTTTCTTTGTAGATTTGCTGGAATTATTACCAATGTTTTGAGCTTTTGTAATTTAGGGTGGAAGGGTTTAGGCCATACTACTTACATATAAGGCACTGTCTTCATGCTCAACATTAATATTTAATGCTCTCATTGCTGTTGTTCAATCTGCTCTCTCTCTCTTTGCTTTCTGTGACCTTTCGTACTGTCTTGTCTAATGTGATAACATTACTGCTAATATATTGTCTTTCCCATAAAGTAAATAGTGGTAGTCAAGGTTTTATATTCTTAATGTTGTGGTAGTCAATGAGGGTTCAGATGTGTCTTAGAAACATCTTGATATTTCATGATGTTTTAATATATTCCAGGACTCGAGTCCTGGAAATGGGAAGTACAGTGCCTACACTTTAAAGGAGACGTTTGGGATATTGACAGTTTGGAGGGACATCTAAACTGTCGTATCTGAGCTCCTCTGCAAAGACAGTGATTATGTATGAGTGATGGTGATAATGTTGAATGATGAGTTTTTTCTTTCTTTTTGGGTCACCCTGCCTCGGTGGGAAATGGCCGACGTGTTAAAAAAAAAAAAAAAGCCTCTCCTCACTTAGCAACGTACTTGCTTACATACTCGGTCTTACGATGGGCTCTCTGATGAGTATTTATACCTAAATAATATATGTTAGAGCTGATTTCCTCTCTTCTGTTTATTTCAATATACAGTATAAACATTTAAAAAAGTACCAGAAATGTTATGAATGTTATGACCGACAAAATGAGATTAGTCACGAGGGAGCATTCACCAAATTCAACTTCAATAACAAAAACATAAAGTGGGACCAAGTAAACCAAGTCCTAACCGATATAAGCTGGGAAGATATACTAAGCAACACAGACCCCAACTTATGCCTAGAACAGATTAACTCGGTGGCACTCGATGTATGCACAAGGCTTATTCCTCTAAGAAAAAGGAGGAGTAGATGTAAAATAGAAAGAGACAGGCGCTCCCTTTACAGGCGACGGGAATGAGTAACAGAGCAGCTAAAAGAGGTCAATATATCTGAAATGCGTAGGGAGACACTGGTCAGAGAAATAGCAAGCATCGAACTTAAGCTAAAAGAATCCTTTAGGAGTCAGGAATCGCGGGAAGAACTAAAAGCCATAAATGAAATCGAAAGAAACCCAAAGTATTTCTTCTCCTATGCCAAATCAAAATCGAGAACAACGTCCAGTATTGGGCCCCTACTTAAACAAGATGGGTCCTACACAGATGACAGCAAGGAAATGAGTGAGCTACTCAAGTCCCAATATGACTCAGTTTTTAGCAAGCCGCTAACCAGCCTGAGAGCCGAAGATCAAAATGAATTTTTTATGAGAGAGCCACAAAATTTGATTAACACAAGCCTATCCGATGTTATCCTGACGCCAAATGACTTCGAACAGGCGATAAATGACATGCCCATGCACTCTGCCCCAGGGCCAGACTCGTGGAACTCTGTGTTCATCAAGAACTGCAAGAAGCCCCTATCACGAGCCTTTTCCATCCTATGGAGAGGGAGCATGGACACGGGGGTCGTCCCACAGTTACTAAAAGCAACAGACATAGCCCCACTCCACAAAGGGGGCAGTAAAGCAACAGCAAAGAACTACAGACCAATAGCACTAACATCCCATATCATAAAAATCTTTGAAAGGGTCCTAAGAAGCAAGATCACCACCCATCTAGAAACCCATCAGTTACACAACCCAGGGCAACATGGGTTTAGAACAGGTCGCTCCTGTCTGTCTCAACTATTGGATCACTACGACAAGATCCTAAATGCACTAGAAGACAAAAAGAATGCAGATGTAATATATACAGACTTTGCAAAAGCCTTCGACAAGTGTGACCATGGCGTAATAGCGCACAAAATGCGTGCTAAAGGAATAACAGGAAAAGTCGGTCGATGGATCTATAATTTCCTCACTAACAGAACACAGAGAGTAGTCGTCAACAGAGTAAAGTCCGAGGCAGCTACGGTGAAAAGCTCTGTTCCACAAGGCACAGTACTCGCTCCCATCTTGTTCCTCATCCTCATATCCGACATAGACAAGGATGTCAGCCACAGCACTGTGTCTTCCTTTGCAGATGACACCCAAATCTGCATGACAGTGTCTTCCATTGCAGACACTGCAAAGCTCCAGGCGGACATCAACCAAATCTTTCAGTGGGCTGCAGAAAACAATATGAAGTTCAACGATGAGAAATTTCAATTACTCAGATATGGTAAACATGAGGAAATTAAATCTTCATCAGAGTACAAAACAAATTCTGGCCACAAAATAGAGCGAAACACCAACATCCAAGACCTGGGAGTGATCATGTCGGAGGATCTCACCTTCAAGGACCATAACATTGCATCAATCGCATCTGCTAGAAAAATGACAGGATGGATAATGAGAACCTTCAAAACTAGGGAGGCCAAGCCCATGATGACACTCTTCAGGTCACTTGTTCTATCTAGGCTGGAATATTGCTGCACACTAACAGCACCTTTCAAGGCAGGTGAAATTGCCGACCTAGAAAATGTACAGAGAACTTTCACGGCGCGCATAACGGAGATAAAAACACCTCAATTACTGGGAGCGCTTGAGGTTCCTAAGCCTGTATTCCTTGGAACGCAGGAGGGAGAGATACATGATTATATACACCTGGAAAATCCTAGAGGGACTAGTACCGAACTTGCACACGAAAATCACTCACTACGAAAGCAAAAGACTTGGCAGACGATGCACCATCCCCCCAATGAAAAGCAGGGGTGTCACTAGCACGTTAAGAGACCATACAATAAGTGTCAGGGGCCCGAGACTGTTCAACTGCCTCCCAGCACACATAAGGGGGATTACCAACAGACCCCTGGCAGTCTTCAAGCTGGCACTGGACAAGCACCTAAAGTCAGTTCCTGATCAGCCGGGCTGTGGCTCGTACGTTGGTTTGCATGCAGCCAGCAGCAACAGCCTGGTTGATCAGGCTCTGATCCACCAGGAGGCCTGGTCACAGACCGGGCCGCGGGGGCGTTGACCCCCGGAACTCTCTCCAGGTAAACTCCAGGTAATGGTGCAAAGGTGACATTAAAACAATATCAAAGATGGTTGACACAAACCCACTACCATTATAATATGCTCCTCACTTAGCGGCGAATTCGTTTAACGACGTGGTCTTACGAATGAAACTTCATAGTTAAGTGAGGAGAGGCTGTATTCCAGTTTGTCTAAAGTATTTTCTTTATACATTACTGTACGTGTATTCTAATAAGCAGGTTAATAAAATGTTGGCTTAAAGTAGCTAAATGAATATGATTTATAGTGTTTGGAAGTTTTCAATAAAGATAGATAGATTCGGCACTATTTTCTGCCGCACAGCGCTGCATGACCCTTGTCGGTTTAGCGCTGTATTTGATTATAATAATAATTCAGTAAAAATGGAGACTATAGAATTCTCTTCATAATAGTCATACTACACATTGCTTTCAAACATGATGTCTCCGCTGCCTCTAGCCTCACTGCAACTTTCAAAGCCCATTCCTCACACCTGTAAGTATTGGTACCACTTTACTCTGGTACAGTGGAACCTCAGTTTTCGTGATTAATTCATTCCAGAAAATCTGATGAAAACCGAATTGTACGAAAACTGAAGCAATATTTCCCATAAGAAATAATGTAAATCCAATTAATCCGTTCCAAACACCCAAAAATATTAACAAAAAATACATTTTATAGATAATAACTATAGTTTTACATACAGAAAACAATGAGAAATAAACATAAATGACTAATGAAATGGATTAATGAACATTTAACATCACTTTTACCTTTATTGGAGGCTCTTGTTGGCATATGGAAGATGGCGAGGAGGGGAGATGGAGGAGGAGAGGTTATTGTTTGGAAGGGGAATCCCCCTCCATAAGGACTTCAGGTATCAAGGCCCTATCTGGGGTTGCTTCCCTTCTTTGTCTTTTACTGGCACTAGGACCAGCTTGAGAGTCACTGGACCCCTGTCGCACAAAAAATCTGCCCAGAGGTCTGCTTCTGGCATCTCTAAGATTTGCCTAAAATGGGAAAAGGCATTGTCATTGAACATGTTGTAGACACAGCTTGCAACAGCTTTGTTAGGGCAATATTTTCCATAAAACTCTGCAACTCATTCCACTTTGCACACATGTCCTTAATCACTGAAGGCGGCATATTCTCCCCTCTCTCTTCCTCCTCCTCTGAAGCAATTTCCTCAGCTGCAGTCTGTTGCTGTTCCAGTTGATGCTCTTGCAGCCCTTCAGTGGTTAGCTCTTCCCTGTGGTCATCCACCAACTCTTCCACATCCTGGCCACTCACATCCAACCCCATGGACTTCCCCAAAGACACAGTAGGCATAGGGTCGTCAGGGTCAGCCTCAAACCCTTCAAAATCCTACTCGAGGACACATTTTGTGTGGGTGTTCAAGTGGATGCGTTTGGTACGGCGACCATTGTCAGCTCTACGAAAACCGAGCTGATGTACGAAAACTGGGACAAAATTTTAACAGGAAAAGTTGTCAAAAAGTGATTCCTATGAAAACCAGGGCATACGAAAACCAAGTTCCACTGCATATTCTTCTTTTTGCCTCCACAGATGAACTTCTTTATTCCCCAGATGCCTCAAGTCACTCCCCTATATATATACAGTAGGGCCCCACTTATACGGCTGGTTAGGTTCCAGGCTACAGCCGTAAAGCCGGAAACCGCCGTAAAGTGGAACACCCTTTTTTTCCACTTACAAATGCATACAAACACTAGATAACAAGTGTACACTAACATATATTAAGTTAGCAATAAAACCAGGCATCAAAAAACAATAAAAAAGTACAATTTATTTATTTATTTATTTATTAACAATTTGAGCACACATACAGAGGTACAAAAAAATACAGATAAGAGCAGCATGCCAAAGCCACTTATACTATGCATAGCATTACGGGCTGGCTTAAAATTAACTTAAGATTAACTAAGCAATGATGAAATCAGTGATAAAACATTAATGTAAACAGATTATTATAAAGCACAAGTGAGTATTACAAAGACAGGTCATATGGTTGCATGCATTGTTGTACATTCAGTCGTATGGAGTATTCTGTTAGGTAGTGTATTTAAAAAATAATGAAGTTAGATTGGGTTTTAGGTTTAACATTTATGTGATATAATTGTGAGAAACATTTAAGATATACAATTTATAAGGTTCAGTTATTCAGTATTTATTTGGTTTTGGGTGAGTAAGTGATCTTTGAGAAGAGACTTGAATTTATAAACAGGAAGTGTTTCTTTTATATATACAGGTAATGAATTCCAGATTTTAGGGCCTTTTATGTGCATTGAGTTTTTGCATAGTGTGAGATGGACACGAATAACATCAAAGAGTGATCTGTGCCTTGTGTTATGGTCATGTGTTCTGTTGAGGTTGGCAAGGAGATGTTTGAGGGGAGGGTTAATATCAGAGTTAAGTGTTCTATGTATGTAATAGGTGCAGTAATAAGTATGGATGTTTTGTATGGTGAGTAGGTTTAGTGTATTGAATATTGGTGGAGTGTGCTGCCTGTAGTGAGAATTTGTTATTCTAACTGCAGCCTTTTGTTGGGTAATTAGTGGTCTGAGATGGTTAATTGTTGTTGAGCCCCATGCACAAATTCCATAGGTGAGATAGGGGTAAATAAGAGAGTGATGTAGGGCCAGGAGGGCTGACTGTGGAGCATAGTACCGTATCTTCGATAGTATGCCTACAGTCTTGGAAATTTTCTTAGAAATTTGTTGTATATGTGTATGAAATTTGAGTCTATTATCAAGGTGGATTCCTAAGAATTTTCCCTCTGTTAGCTTTGTGATAGGTGATCTGTTTATCATCCGTTTATCACAATACACACATAGTGCACTCATTACTTACCTTAAAATATTTATAGTCTTAATCTAGGGTGAGACAAGTAGTATTTATTGTAAGAAATCAAGTGTGGTATGTATGGTAGTCAGCCAGGCTACCATACCAGGCCACCCCACCCACACATACAATTCTATGATATTTAAGCATCCCAGAGCGATAAAATGTATATACAGTTCACTCATTACTTACCTTAAAATATTTGTAGTCTTAATGTAGGGTCAGGAGTAAGTAAATGAGATAAAACGAATAAATGAGAGAGAGAAAGAATGAGTGCATGAGAGAGTACAGGCGCAGAGTTATGTAAACAAACCAGGCGAAGGTAAGTTTTGTAAACAAAGTGTACACGTATGGTTTGTGTACAAGTTACATTGTGTACAGGTTGTCTCTACATTGATACGGTAGAATAAATAAAGAAGAACACTCCCATTCTCATGTAACATCATTTTGAGAAGAAATGATGCTCTGAGTGAAGGCAATGTTAATAAGTCACTCTGACTTTTTTGGGTTATCCTAGGTTCTCTACACATATGTTGTTATGTATGATAATCTATGTAACTGTATTTGTGTATACCTGAATAAACTTACATACATACAAAAGGAATAATTTTCTACAGTTACCCCTAGTAACACATTTTCTCTTATGTTAGATTAGAGAAAATGTTATTCTTGGCATCACTTGTGCAAGTCGTCTGCTACCACATCTCATATTTATGTTATTTATTCTATTGTAGGGTGTATTTATCATCTTTTTATGTTATGTATCGTGTTTATTATATAATTTTGAAAAAAATATCATGGATGGATTAATGAAAATGTGTATTTAACGTAATATACGACATTTAAATGAGACTCGATGATTATTATCATTACTAATATGACGTCTGGAGACATAAGACACTCTTACTGATTTTAATGTGTACCTGCATGCCAGCACAGTATGTAAGTTTATTTAAGTACAGGTATACATAAGTATAATTATCAGAGTATATATAAAATATGAAATAACTTTTAAAAACATTTGAAATTTTGGAGTTTCCAGACAAAATTTATTTATTTATTTATTTATTTATTTATAATTTGAGCACACTTACAGAGGTACAAAAAAAAATACAGATAAGAGCAGCATGCCAAAGCCACTTATACTATGCATAGCATTACGGGCTGGCTTAAAATTAACTTAAGATTAACTAAGCAATGATGAAATCAGTGAAAAACATTAATGTAAACTGATTACTATAAAGCACAAGTGAGTATTACAAAGACAGGTCATATGGTTGCATGCATTGTTGTAAATTCAGTAGAATGGAGTATTCTGTTAGGTAGTGAATTTAAAAAATAATGAAGTTAGATTGGGTTTTAGGTTTAACATTTACCTGGAGTTTACCTGGAGAGTGTTTCGGGGGTCAACGCCCCCGCGGCCCGGTCTGTGACCAGGCCTCCTGGTGGATCAGCGCCTGATCAACCAGGCTGTTGCTGCTGGCTGCACGCAAACCAACGTACGAGCCACAGCCCGGCTGATCAGGAACTGCCTTTAGGTGCTTGTCCAGTGCCAGCTTGAAGACTGCCAGGGGTCTGTTGGTAATCCCCCTTATGTGTGCTGGGAGGCAGTTGAACAGTCTCGGTCCCCTGACACTTATTGTATGGTCTCTTAACGTGCTAGTGACACCCCTGCTTTTCATTGGGGGGATGGTGCATCGTCTGCCAAGTCTTTTGCTTTCGTAGTGAGTGATTTTCGTGTGCAAGTGATATAATTGTGAGAAACATTTAATGGAGAGACTTAGTGCTTACTGAGCTCACAAAGAATGTAAACAAACAGGGTGGGGTGCGGTGACCGTATTAGAAAGTCAGGTGGGGGGAGCCGTATAGCGAGTTTTGGTCATAATTTGAAATGACCGTATTAGCGGAACGCCGTAAAGTGAAACGCCGTAAAGCGGGGCCCTGCTGTATTTTATTTTTCTTCTCCCCTGTCATCTATGTTTCATCTTGTCTTTTACAGACTTATCTGCCAACATGGCTACTGCAAAGTATCTAAATACATCCACTCCCTCATCATACTCTCTCCCTCCCTCCAATCTGATATCTCGTGTATTATTTCCTAGACTTTTTTCTACTCATCACCTTGCTGCTTTCTACATTTACTTTTAATTTTCTTCTTTTACATTCCCTTTCAGATTTGTACACCAACCTTTTCAAAAACAGTTATTAATAAGACACATGTGCCCCAGTTGAGTTTATTTGTGGGGATGTTTCACAAACCAGTGGCCTCATCAGTCCAGTACAGAAAATGATCCTGGAGATAATGGAAGACACGAAGTAGAAATATGAGGTAATCAGTCCCTCAGCCATGGTGTTCAGTCCATCAGTCTTGATGGACTGATCATGTCTATCACCTTAATGTCTTCCACTATCTCCAGGCTTATTATCTGTATTGAACTGATAAGCCACTTGTTGGCAAAACATCTCCACAATAAAAATACCCAAGTGTTGCGCATGTGTCTTATTTATCTCCTTGCCAGTTCTGCATAACATTTGAAAAATAGTTATCTTGTGCATTGATGGTTAAATTTTTGTGAATTATGATAGTATACAAGTTTTTGACTTTACATCTGATAATTTTTCAACTTAATCTTACCTTGTTAAAATATAATTTGCCTTAATTCTTGTTAACTTGTCCTTAGGCTGGTCTAAATTTAGTTATTTCATTGACATTAAATAATACTGTACTACAAATACACTAATTTTGTGATGTTCAGGCAATAACTCAATATTTACCAGGTAAACAATGAGTTATTTCTCTACTTTTTAAGAAAACTGATTTTTGTTTCACAAGTTAAGATCACAATCTTGGCCTAAAAAATACAATATACATGTAATTTTCTGCAGAGATGATTATTAACCATATGTGTATGTGCATTTGCATATTTACTTTGTGTTTTTTTTATCCAGTACTAAGATATTGAGTTTTCTTATTTTAATATTTTTAAAAATTATTCCTTTCAATTTTATGTGGTTATTCATTATAGTTCCAAAATGTTTTAACTTTTTTGGTTTATTTTTAATATTTTTTAGATATACTGTATATTTTTTGACTGAATTCAGTTTTGATATATTGAACATTTAATTGTAAGCAGTTAAGGGTTTTTGTTTTGTATCACATGCACTGTAAGGTGTTAAGATTCGAAACAGTTGGTCTTTCCTTGCAGTAACCAGCAGCCGATCACCCCACTCCAAACTTGGGAAACATCTCCAGAGTCTTATCAATGGTGCAGGTGGTGCCGACCTGGCCCATGGAATCTACAGACTCCAGGTGGAAGGAAAGGATGGTGGAATCTTCATCATTTTTGTTGGAAATGGCAAGTTCATTTTAAATTTAATGTTTAATGTCCTGTTTCTCCTTCAGATTGATGTTTTTTTTTTTTATCACACTTTATTCACCTTCATTCACTTACATCATACTTTATCTTTATCATATTTGTTGTAATGGGAAGTTTATTCTGTATATAATATGTTTCTCTTTCTAATTGGTGTTTTGTTATCACCCTTTATTCATGCCATAGTTATTCGAATAATATTTACACATTCCCTGTGTCCTGTTTTCCAGCTAATCTGTACAGGAGCATATTAGTGCTATACAAAGATTTCCTTTTTTATAAATCTTGTCCTTTCATGGAACTTCTCTTGTAAAATTTGCCTCAGATAAAGTTATTCCAGTGCAGCAGTTTGAGGAAAAGCAGCATTATGTACCCTTTATCTGTTATATTTCAGATAACAATGGTTTTCATTTCTGGACATTCATGCATTGTAACTAACCATTTATCAACAGGTTTCTTCCTGCATCTTTTAAGGTATTATATTTATTTAGATCATAGTTTTTCTTTTTATTTCCAGTTCTTCCACGTGCACCTGATCGTTAAATTCACTGCCATACAATGGCAGGGAAGATTATACAGTAGTACCTGTGTAGGATATCTGCCATTCATTCATCAGAATATGTCAGTCATGCATTATAATATCTGCCATTTCATGCATTAACTATCATAAACAACATCTCGTGAATCTTTGGCTTGCTGTTTGGAGAAATTTTTTCTGCAAGATCATTAAAGTTACAGTATTCCATTACAACTAAATCATTTATTAGGCTTTGATGTTGCCAATTATAATAAGGTACAATCTTTCTAAAAATAAAGACACAAGACTGATATAAAAGTTTACATAGTATGTGTTAACTGAAAAATTCATATAAAAGAATATCATTTTCTTCATGGGGAAGTGAAACAGAGTTCTTCGTTCGTAAACCATGCATTTCGTAAGAGGCAACTAAAATGCCAGGAGCAAGGAGCTAGTAACCCCTTCTCCTGTATACATTACTAAATTTAAAAGAAAAATTTCTTTTTAGGTTTTTCATTTATTTCATGTAATCCATTGTTTTGGTCTAAATCTTGGGTATTTTTAATAATTTTGGAATGAAGGTTACTCATGACATGCTTTTGTAGTGATCTTCATTAACTAGTCTCCAAAACATCTAATTTACATAATTTCCAGATGTGAAAATACATTTTCAACATGTCCAGATCCTTGTAAATCAATTCAGGATGTATGAAAATACTTTAGGTGCAGTTTTATCTGTAATGGAAGAATTTAAGTTTATTTAAGTGGAAGTCAGGTATATGCAAGAGCAATTTATGTTCAAGAATATGAAGTTAGTTTGTGGGTAATTAAGTTGCTTCAAAAAATTAAAGCATATAATTTAAGATGAATTGAAGTTGAATTAAAATTCTTCTGTAACAAGCTTGATAGCCATGACAATTGGCAGTTGTGTAGATTATCAACCCTTTCAGGGTATCTGACGTACTAGTACGGCTTACACACTAGGGTTTTTGACGTACTAGTACGCCTAGTAGTAGGTTGGTAGACAGCAACCACCCAGGGAAGTACTACCGTCCTGCCAGATGACTGTGAAACAAAAACCTGTAACTGTTTTGCATGATGGTAGGATTGCTGGTTTCTTTTTCTGTCTCATAAACACGCTAAGATAACAGGGATATCTTGCTACTCCTACTTACACTTTGGTCACACTTCACAGACACGCACATGCATATATATATATACATACATCTAGGTTTTTCTCCTTTTTCTAAATAGCTCTTGCTCTTTTTATTTCTTCTATTGTCCATGGGGAAGTGGAAAAGAATCTTTCCTCCGTAAGCCATGCGTGTCGTATGAGGCGACTAAAATGCGGGAGCAATGGGCTAGTAACCCCTTCTCCTGTATACAATTACTAAAAAGAGAAGAAGAAAAACTTTATAAAACTGGGTTGCTTAAATGTGCGTGGATGTAGTGCGGATGACAAGAAACAGATGATTGCTGATGTTATGAATGAAAAGAAGTTGGATGTCCTGGCCCTAAGCGAAACAAAGCTGAAGGGGGTAGGAGAGTTTCAGTGGGGGGAAATAAATGGGATTAAATTGGGGTATCTGAGAGAGTTAGAGCAAAGGAAGGGGTAGCAGTAATGTTAAATGATCAGTTATGGAAGGAGAAAAGAGAATATGAATGTGTAAATTCAAGAATTATGTGGATTAAAGTAAAGGTTGGATGCGAGAAGTGGGTCATAATAAGCGTGTATGCACCTGGAGAAGAGAGGAATGCAGAGGAGAGAGAGAGATTTTGGGAGATGTTAAGTGAATGTATAGGAGCCTTTGAACCAAGTGAGAGAGTAATTGTGGTAGGGGACTTGAATGCTAAAGTAGGAGAAACTTTTAGAGAGGGTGTGGTAGGTAAGTTTGGGGTGCCAGGTGTAAATGATAATGGGAGCCCTTTGATTGAACTTGTATAGAAAGGGGTTTAGTTATAGGTAATACATATTTTAAGAAAAAGAGGATAAATAAGTATACACGATATGATGTAGGGCGAAATGACAGTAGTTTGTTGGATTATGTATTGGTAGATAAAAGACTGTTGAGTAGACTTCAGGATGTACATGTTTATAGAGGGGCCACAGATATATCAGATCACTTTCTAGTTGTAGCTACACTGAGAGTAAAAGGTAGATGGGATACAAGGAGAATAGAAGCATCAGGGAAGAGAGAGGTGAAGGTTTATAAACTAAAAGAGGAGGCAGTTAGGGTAAGATATTAAACAGCTATTGGAGGATAGATGGGCTAATGAGAGCATAGGCAATGGGGTCGAAGAGGTATGGGGTAGGTTTAAAAATGTAGTGTTAGAGTGTTCAGCAGAAGTTTGTGGTTACAGGAAGTGGGTGCAGGAGGGAAGAGGAGCGATTGGTGGAAGATGATGTAAAGAGAGTAGTAAGGGAGAAAAAGCTAGCATATGAGAAGTTTTTACAAAGTAGAAGTGATGCAAGGAGGGAAGAGTATATGGAGAAAAAGAGAGAGGTTAAGAGAGTGGTGAAGCAATGTAAAAAGAGAGCAAATGAGGAGAGTGGGTGAGATGTTATCAACAAATTTTGTTGAAAATAAGAAAAAGTTTTGGAGTGAGATTAACAAGTTAAGAAAGCCTAGAGAACAAATTGATTTGTCAGTTAAAAATAGGAGAGGAGAGTTATTAAATGGAGAGTTAGAGGTATTGGGAAGATGGAAGGAATATTTTGAGGAATTGTTAAATGTTGATGAGATAGGGAAGCTGTGATTTCGTGTATAGGGCAAGGAGGAATAACATCTTGTAGGAGTGAGGAAGAGCCAGTTGTGAGTGTGGGGGAAGTTCGTGAGGCAGTAGGTAAAATGAAAGGGGGTAAGGCAGCCGGGATTGATGGGATAAAGATAGAAATGTTTAAAAGCAGGTGGGGATATAGTTTTGGAGTGGTTGGTGCAATTATTTAATAAATGTATGGAAGAGGGTAAGGTACCTAGGGATTGGCAGAGAGCATGCATAGTTCCTTTGTATAAAGGCAAAGGGGATAAAAGAGAGTGCAAAAATTATAGGGGGATAAGTCTGTTGAGTGTTACCTGGTAAAGTGTATGGTAGAGTTATAATTGAAAGAATTAAGAGTAAGACGGAGAATAGGATAGCAGATGAACAAGGAGGCTTTAGGAAAGGTAGGGGGTGTGTGGACCAGGTGTTTACAGTGAAACATATAAGTGAACAGTATTTAGATAAGGCTTAAGAGGTCTTTGTGGCATTTATGGATTTGGAAAAGGCGTATGACAGGGTGGATAGGGGGGCAATGTGGCAGATGTTGCAAGTGTATGGTGTAGGAGGTAGGTTACTGAAAGCAGTGAAGAGTTTTTTACGAGGATAGTGAGGCTCAAGTTAGAGTATGTAGGAAAGAGGGAAATTTTTTCCCAGTAAAAGTAGGCCTTAGACAAGGATGTGTGATGTCACCGTGGTTGTTTAATATATTTATAGATGGGGTTGTAAGAGAAGTAAATGCGAGGGTCTTGGCAAGAGGCGTGGAGTTAAAAGATAAAGAATCACACACAAAGTGGGAGTTGTCCCCAGCTGCTCTTTGCGATGACACTGTGCTCTTGGGAGATTCTGAAGAGAAGTTGCAGAGATTGGTGGATGAATTTGGTAGGGTGTGCAAAAGAAGAAAATTAAAGGTGAATACAGGAAAGAGTAAGGTTATGAGGATAACAAAAAGATTAGGTGATGAAAGATTGAATATCAGATTGGAGGGAGAGAGTATGGAGGAGGTGAACGTATTCAGATATTTGGGAGTGGACGTGTCAGCGGATGGGTCTATGAAAGATGAGGTGAATCATAGATTGATGAGGGAAAAAAAGTGAGTGGTGCATTTGGAGTCTGTGGAGACAAAGAACTTTGTCCTTGGAGGCAAAGGGGGAATGGGAGGGGATAAAGTTTTACCAAGCTTTTATGGGGGTTTAAGCGTGGGTGAGAAGTTGAGCGAGGGAAGGCTGAGGCATGGAGATGTCTGTCGAGGGCAATGGGTGGGTGAATATAAGCGAGTTTTCGTAGTTTGGAAGTTAGGAGGGGGTGGGGGGATTACCAAAACTTTTGTCCAGGGGCTGAGGAAGGGTTGTTGAGGGGGTTGGGACAGTAGGGAATGGAGCGAAACGGGAATGATTAAAGATGTATCAGTCTGTAGGGGAAGGAAGGCGGGGTGGGGTCGGCGGGAAAGGGGTTGGGGGGAGGGGGTAAAGGAGGTTTTGTGTCGAGGGGTTGGGATTCCAGCGGATGCGTGAGGTGTTTGATAGGATTGAATGGGACAAATGGTTTTAAATATTGCTGCTGTTGGAGTGTAGAAAAGTAAATTTATAAAGGGGATTGGGGAAAACCCGGGCGGGGCCACTTGAGTTTGGGATGGGAAAGTCGGCCTGCACTCTGAAGGAGGGGTGTTAATTTTTGCATTTTAAAAAAACTGTAGTGAAAAGCACCC